AAGGGCCAGGCCTACATGGGAGGCTGGAGGAAAGGAGAACTCGGGTGGGTCTAGACCAACCTTGCAGAGGAGAAATCTAACACCAGGCATGCCTATAGCTTTAGATTTTCTAGTAGCCACATTGGAAAAACAAAAACAAACAGGGGAAATTAATTTTAAGAATACATTTTGTTTAGCCCAATATGTCCAAAACAGTATTTCAACTGCAAATATTAAAAAAATGTAATAAGTCATTTTGCACCTTTGAAATCCTGTAAGAATTTTACACCTGCAGCCCAACTCAGATACTAAATTTTTATCCAAAATACTTGATCTGTATTTAGATTTTATTAAATGTATAGTTGAAAAAATAGATTCACATCTTCAATTTGTTTCATATATACTTAAAAGTTTTCCTGTAACTGAATTGGGTATCAGTCTTTAAATTGCAATGAAATAAAATTAAATTTAAAATCAGTTCCTGGGTTGCACTAGCCACATTTCAAGTGCTTGATAGCACCTGTGGCTAGTGGCTATAGGATGGGACCGCCAGGGTGTGGAACACCGGAAATGTGCAGGAGACCCATCCTGGGTGTTCACCGTGGCTCCTCCCACCCCAGGCCACTTGTCCAGAGCAGGCTGGTCATCCCAGACTCCCAGCAAAGGGACGACAAGGGCTTCCAGTGCCAGCTCATCCAGGGCAACCTTCCTTCCGGTTGCCCTCCTGGGCATCATCCTTAGAAGGAGGGTCTCCAATGGCTTCCCGGGTCCTTTATTTATGTGTACCTCAGCGCACCCAGGCCAGTTCCTTCCCTGGCCAGACATTTCCCTCCAACCAAATACCCACCCACAGAAGGCCCATGTCACTGGCTGCGTTTCACATTTCTGCTTCCATGAATAAGTGCTTTTACTCCAAAAAGGCACACATGATGTATGTGAAGCAGCCACTAGCCTCCTGGCCAGTCCTGGTGACATAAGATCTGAGTTAATTGAGAACTGCTCTATGCCAGGCCCTTAATGAGAGCACCTCCCCTCACAGCAGCCTTGCCAGGTAGGTGGACCCGCTCCCTCTATGGCAGGGCTCCGGTGACCACACGGCCACAGTAGGGGTAGGCTGTCACCCCGCGCACGCCGGCACCGGAGTTCCCGCCTTCTGAGGAGCACTGTGACCACTAGAGGGCACCGCGCGGGTCAGGGAGATAGATGCTCCCAGCATCTGAATCCTGGGCAAGGTGGGCACACTGGCAAGGAAAGCGCCGGTCACGGTGTCCTCCCTTCACCCTGCCAGAGGTCCCCGCCCAGCCCATAGCTGTGGGAGCCCACAGCTGTCCTCGTTTGGGCTTTGAGACGTTTTGTGTCACTCCTAAAGTTGGAGAGAGATCGTTGTTCATGAACAGAGCACTCGGTAAGAATTCTTTCCTTGATTTTACTATGCCCTAAATCTTCTCTGAAAATATATAGAGCTCGTTTTAGAGTCTTGGAGAGGGCAGGAGTTTCAGAGACATAGGTCTGAGCTCTAGCCAATAACTAACTGACCCTGTGTTCATCCACTTACCCAACAAACATTTATTGAGCACTTACTATGTGCCTGATGCTGTGCTAGTCGCTGTAGGGGACACAGATGAATAAGATGGGTAGTTCCTTCTTATTAGAGACATGACTAGAGCCGTAGTGGCTGGTGACCCTGTGGAACTGGCTTCCCCTCTCTGGGCCTCAGATGCCATAATTTTTAGATTGTTCCCTGTAAGTAGGGACATTTTAAAAGATCTTTATGGGTCCCACCTGATAGATCAAACATATTAAAATATTCCCCATCCCACTTTAAACACAATTTTTTTTATATAACTGTAAACGTTTCGGTTTGCATTTGCTGGCTGACACGGTATCATGTTTTGTAGACTATTAAAGCTTTCTAAAATTTGAAAAAAAAGAAAACGGTATTTGCCCCATCCTCACCCCGCCCCGCAAAGGCTTGGCTGGGCGGGCGCTGCAGCGAGACCTCCCACGCAGCAGGGGACGCTGCGCGCACCTCTCGGACCTCCTCTCAACACACTGGAAGCAATGGCGGGTGACGGTGTGTGTGTGTGGGGGGGGGGAGGGGTCCTCTCTCTAGGGGTGGCCATTCTGAAGCCTGATCCCAAGTGCAGACGAGTGTTCCCATCCCGCAGGAGCGTTGACCTCCAGGAGGGTTAGAGAAGACAATGGAGCTCTCTGTGCACTCTTCCGCGAAGGCCGGTGCGGCGGTAGCGGCGCGGAAGACGCGGGCCGGGGGAGAACTCGCGCCGGGCGGCAGGCGNATTGTGTAGGACAATCTCCAACAGCACAGATTTGTTCCACTGAAAATACCAATCACGGCACCTTTGAAAAACTCTGGATGAGCCAGCCTCTTTCCCTTGTCAAATTCTAGGGAGAATCCCCCAGAGCAGAGAGGATTGGACTTCCTGGGACCTTGGCTCCCACGCAAGCCTGAATAAAGACTGCATTGCCACATGGGGGCCTGTGGGGTCAAAGCCAACATGCTCCACTGCTGCAGGCCCAGGGGGCCCTCTTTCTTCCTCATGTTGACATTGACTTTCTGTGCCAAGTCCTTTGAGAATAAGGATGCTGGGAACTGCCCATGGCACCAAACAGAAGGAAAGTTAGGGGTATAGATTAATACAAGGGCATAGAACTTGCTCTCAATCTTGGGTCCTAACCCAAGGTCAAAGTTGTCCCAGCCGAGTGGTGCTGAGTTCCTGAATACTTTTTCCTTTATGAGTCAGACAGGGTCTTTAATGTTCTCTTAAAAGCAAGGAAGGCCATCTGTTCACTCAGAGAGGGAACTCGGCATCACTTACTTTGTCTTCCTCACCTGCCCCTGGATAAATCCAGTCTTTGGAATGGCAAGAACAGCTCCTGATTTTCCCTGGTAGGAAGAGCTATCTAATGGAAGTAGCTAAATTTATTCATTCATGCATGATTCACTCAGCAGACATGCAAGTGTGCCTACTATTTACCCAGCAACCTGCCAAGTGCTGCATAACTTCCTTTAGTTATTTCTGCTCTCTCTATGGTGGTGCCAAAATGTGGAATGGGAAAACTGTGGCTTAGGGGCTCTGTGATATTAAGAGGAGCCCTCTCTGTTCTATGACTCAAATTTATTCTCTGTAATAGGGAGCCTAATCCCTATTAGTGTGAGGACAGGTAGGTGGATATCTTATTTGGGGTGGGTTGGCAGCAGTTGTTGTTTTAATAATGCAAAGCTCTCACACCTAGAGAAGGATTCAGCTGACTTTTACACAAGAATGAACTCAATGAATTACTGTCGATTTTGTTTTAGAATGGGGAGAGAGGTATCTTTGAAGCTGCTACATTTTTCTATTTATCCATTAATTTCTTTGCAATGATTTGTTTAGAATTTTTTTATTTGGTGTAGGGAGGTAGCTTTTTTCAAGTTAGGAAATTGTCTAAGGCAGAAGTTGCAAGGCAGCAGCCTCTGATGTGTTTAAAAACTTATGAGTTCATTGCCAATATTCAAAAGTTGGGAGATTGCACATAAAAAGCCAGTTTTGGGGGTGGAAGATAAGGCATAGCGTCATCTCCACTTTGCTATAATTCCACCCCCCAACACTTGAGCCCCTCTCCCATCTACCCACCCCGCTCTCTACTGCACTTCACTGTTATATGGCCCCTTGCCTGGCCCTGGTCCTGGTGGGCATTTGAGTTTGCAAGCTTCTGATGTAAAGGGGGGTTTGCACATGTTTCAGTACTTCCTGTGACTAGTTGAAGACAGAGGTGTTTCTTTACTGAGAGTTGGGTTCTGCCTCCCAATTGATAAAGACAGGGCTGAGAAGCCCATCTGGGCTTTCCTGAGACATGGCTAAGATAAGCGCCATCCATTAAGAACAGTCTAGTTGCCCTTTTGTAGCAGACAGAAAAGTTAGGTGCTAGAAGGATGACCTTGGTGGTGAATCTCTTCCCTCAAGGACTATTACAAGGTATGAAGGTTGGGATGGGCCTGTCTGAGAGTGGAGGTCTTGGATTAGGTCAGTGGAACCAGGAGACTTTGGTGAGGGGCAGTCAGGTCACAGTCTGGGCTCTTGGATACTAATCTTTCTAATATGGCGGTAGGTGTACTGCTTCTGACTTGATTTGTTCATTCCTTGTATCTAATAAAACCAAACAGTACCTCATTGCTGTCTAATTGAAACAGAATGGATCTGCCCCTTTATTTTCATAAGGTGTTCATTGCAGGAGCACTTGGGAGCAAATGGTGGGAACCTCTGAAATAGTCTGGCCTAAAAGTCCCCCAGTTCTGTCCTGGGTGACATCTCCAGAGCCCTATTAGCTGGAGTTGGAAAGTAAATATTTTAAAAGAGGTTTTTAAAAAGATAGCATTTATCTTGGTATTTAATGGGGTGTGTGTGTTTGTGTGCACACACACGTTTAACGCAATAAAATGGCCTTTACTGAGTCTCAGAGAGCCCTTTAGAATATTTGTGTCACAGTTTCTCTCCTCTCAAAGTGTTTGTCTTCAAGACTTACCACACAAGAAGAGTTTCTCGGCTGTAAAACCAAAAGCAAGCAAACCTGCAAAGGGGCCGAGGGCTGAGATCCCCAAAATTGTGATCCAAACAAGGCCTTCTTANTGAGATTAAATCAAGCACAAGAGAAAATGATGCAATTGAGAGATGCAGTAAACATGAGATGTATGAGGCTGTTTCCGGTGTAACACACCGTACTGTTTTACAGCAAACATTTTTATTTTATAAGTAGAAAGAGTACACTCTAAAGTAACAATAAAAAAATATAGTATAGTAAATACATAAGCCAGTAACATAGACATTTATTGTCATTATCAAGTATTGTATACAGTACATAATTGTATGTGGTAGACTTTTACACAACTGACAGCGCAGTAAGTCATTATGGGGCATATGACTGTACTCAGGGGAGCAGATTGTAACCAGCTACCTGTACGTGACTCCCACCCCCAAAGTATACTGAACAGTGTAGCATTGTTACAGAAACAATGAGCAGTGCTTTAAAATGAAATTTTATTCTGTCCCTTTTAAAAAAAAAATCATTAGTTGATGTTATCAGTCTTCTATTGCTGAGTAACAAATAACCACACATTTAGTGGCTTAAAACAACACCCATTTATTCTTTCACACTTTCCAAGGTCAGGAGTCTGGGCAGGGCTTAGCTTGGCCTTCTGTTCAAGGCCTCACAAAGCTGTCTCAAGGTGAGCTGGGCTGCATTCCTCTCTGGAGCCTGGTCCTCCTTCAAGCTCACGTGGTTGTTGGCAGAATTCATTTCTTTGCCACTGTAGCACTGAGGTCCCTGCCTTCTTGCTGGCTGTCAGCTCCAAGGGGCCTGGCAGTTCCCTCATAGGCCCTCTCACAACATGGTAGCTGCTCCTTGGGTGAGCAGGGGACCCTCCAGGCTCCTATAATGTAACATAATCACAGGAGTGACTCCCCATCACCTTTGTCATACACGGTACCCAAATCACGGGAGTGCCTAACCCATCATATTCATAGATCCCACACACACTCAAAAGGGAGGGGATTATGCAGGATGAGTACACCAAGGGGTAGGATTCTTGGAGGCCATCTTAGAATTCTGGCTCTCCGTTGAAAGCTCAAAAAATACAAAAGAAGGAACACAAATATTTTTTAAAATCATTCACTTAATTCCATCACTCAAAGATAACTACAAGTCCATATTTTGGGGTAGACCATTCTGTCTGTCTGTCTATCTCTATCTCCTTGTACTATTTAAATTTTAATAAATTTACTTCTGTATAATATATAAATCATCTGCATCAGATATTTGAAATATTTAATTGCAAAAATGTTAACTTCGACCTCTCCATCATCATTTTGAATCTATCTGGATACTAAAGGAAAGAAAAAAAGCAAAGGAATCAAACAATGTCATGTAAATCTTCAATAACTATGCTCCGTAGCATTATTACAAATTGTTTAAGCTCCTGTAGAAGTGAATGTATTAAAATATGAATTGCATTAATAGACTATATAGACTTATTATATGTATATAATAATATGGAATTATATATACATACAAACATGTATACACATTTTGGAATCTGCTTTCTTCATCAATGATATATTGTGACTATACAATATTCCACTGCAATAATTATATGTCAACATCTTTTACCTTTTTTTTTTTGAGATAATTGTAGATTCACATGGAATTGTAAGAAATCATACAAAGAGATCCTGTGTACACTTCACCCATTTTCCCCCAATGGTAACATCTTGTAAAACTGTAGGATAATGTCACAACCAGGATATTGACACTGAAACAATCCACAGATCTTATTCAGATTTCCCCAATTTTACATGTATGTGTGTGTGTGTGTGTGTGTGTGTGTGTGTTTAGTTCTATGGGACTTCA